TCTCAAAATTTCAACTCTTCGCAATATAAAATTTCAATCCGATATTTCAAAATTTTAGTTTGATTTTTTTCAAATTTCAAACCGATGACTTTTTATTTATTTTTTCCAACTTTTTTTTCACTTTTTTCATTTTAGTCAGCTGTTTTGTTTTTTTTTTAAATTTTTCGACTTTTTTGAGAAAATTTTAGATTTTTTTATAATTTTTGTGATTTTTGTTAATTTTTATGATTTTTGTGATTTTTCAAATTTTTATGATTTTTTGAAATTTTTTAAAATTTTCGAAAATTTTTATGATTTTTATAGTTTTTGGAAATTTTTGTGATTTTTAGGATTTTTGAAATTTTTCCAAGATTTTCTAAATTTTTTATCGTTTTTGTAATTTTTCAAATTTTTATGATTTTTGTAGTTTTTTGGAAATTTTTGTGATTTTTGAAGATTTTAATGATTTTTAAAAAATTTTGACATTTTCGAAAATATTTATGAGTTTTGTGATTTTTGGAAATTTTTGTAATTGTAAATTTTTATGATTTTTGAAAATTTTTGAGATTTTCGGAAATTCATGACTTTTGGTAATTTCCATGATTTTTGTGATTTTTGTAAGTTTTTGAAGATTTTTATAATTTTTTTTTTATTGATAAGCCATTTCACTTATTTAAAGTACTCCTGAGCGTGTTTAAATCCAACATTCAAAAACGCGCGTGTTTTAATGTTACTAATGACAACATCAACAACCAGCAGCCCGAGAAAGGTCTAAATGTCAATTTTTTAATTAATGATTTGTCAGGAGTAGGTACTTGTAGACAATGTCAAGTAAAATATAGCAAGTGTCAACGAATTTAGCATTCCACAATTATTAGTAATTTTTGATTTAAACGTATAGGTACTTAATATCCACTTATACTTTAATATACTATTTTTCGAAAATTTTTATGAATTTTGGAAATTTATATGATTTTTAGAAAAAAATATTATAAATATCTTCAAAAACTTACAAAAATCACAAAAATCATGGAAATTACCAAAAATCATGAATTTCCGAAAATCTCAAAAATCATAAAAATTTACAATTACAAAAATTTTCAAAAATCACAAAAATCATGAAAATTTTCGAAAATGTCAAAAATTTTCAAAAATCATTAAAATCTTCAAAAATCACAAAAATTTCCAAAAAACCACAAAAATCATAAAAATTTGAAAAATTACAGAAACGATAAATAATTTCGAAAATTTTGAAAAAATTTCAACAATTCGAAAAAACCATAGAAATCAAGAAAATCAACAAAATTACAAAAATCACGGAAATCATAAAAATTTCCAAAAATCATAAAAATGTCCGAAAATCACAAAAATCATGAAAATTTACAAAAATCATAAAAATTTCCAAAAATCATAAAAATGTCCGAAAATCACAAAAATCATGAAAATTTACAAAAATCATGAAAATTTACAAAAATCATGGAAATTTACAAAAATCACAAAAATCATGAAAATTTCTAAAAATCATAAAAATTTTCGAAAATGTCAAAAATTTTCAAAAATCATTCAAATCTTCAAAAATCAGAAAAATTTTCAAAAAACCACAAAAATCATAAATTTTTTTTTCAAAAATCATAAAAATTTCGAAAAATCACAAAAATTTCCAAAAACTATATAAATCATAAAAATTTGAAAACTCACAAAAATCATAAAAATGCACAAAAATTAGGAAAATTTTGGAAAATCACGAAAATCATAAAAATTTCTAAAATTCATAAAAATTTTCGAAAATGTCAAAAATTTTCAAAAACCATTAAAATCTTCAAAAATCACAAAAATTTCCAAAAAACCACAAAAATCATAAAAATTTGAAAAATTACAAAAACGATAAATAATTTCGAAAATTTTGAAAAAATTTCAAAAATTCGAAAAAATCATAGAAATCAAGAAAATCAACAAAATTACAAAAATCACGAAAATCATAAAAACTTACAAAAATCATAAAAATTTACAAAAATCATAAAAATTTCCAAAAATCATAAAAATGTCCGAAAATCACAAAAATCATGAAAATTTACAAAAATCATGAAAATTTACAAAAATCATGGAAATTTACAAAAATCACAAAAATCATGAAAATTTCTAAAAATCATAAAAATTTTCGAAAATGTCAAAAATTTTCAAAAATCATTCAAATCTTCAAAAATCAGAAAAATTTTCAAAAAACCACAAAAATCATAATTTTTTTTTTCAAAAATCATAAAAATTTCGAAAAATCACAAAAATTTCCAAAAACTATATAAATCATAAAAATTTGAAAACTCACAAAAATGCACAAAAATTAGGAAAATTTTGGAAAATCACGAAAATCATAAAAATTTCTAAAATTCATAAAAATTTTCAAAAATCATAAAAATTAACAAAAATCACAAAAATCATGAAAAATTACAAAAATTCATTATAATTTTTTTGAGTTTTCAAATTTTTATGATTTTTATAGTTTTTGGAAATTTTTGTGAATTTTCGAAATTTTTATGATTTTTGAAATTTTTTTCAAAATTTTCGAAATTATTTATCGTTTTTGTAATTTATCAAATTTTTATGATTTTTGTGGTTTTTTGGAAATTTTTGTGATTTTTGAAGATTTTAATGATTTTTGAAATTTTTTCAAGATTTTCGAATTTTTTTATCGTTTTAGTGATTTTTCAAATTTTTATGATTTTTGTGGTTTTTGTTAATTTTTATGATTTTTGAAAATTTTTATGAATTTTAGAAATTTTTATGATTTTCGTGATTTTCCAAAATTTTCCTAATTTTTGTGCATTTTTATGATTTTTGTGAGTTTTCAAATTTTTATGATTTTTATAGTTTTTGGAAATTTT